ACATGAGAACACACCGATATACTTACATTACTGTAATACCACATATAGACTTTTAACTTTTCTTCCTTGCCTGCTCATAACCATCCGCTCCAATATGAAGAATTCCACTCCATCACATGTCATTGAATTATTTAGTTGCACAATCTCAGGTCACATGCACAGCGGCATCAGATTTAAGCTGTACTTGTTTGGAAGCATGTTTATCTACTAAAGCACGGTGCTTCTACGCAGTTTCATTACAGTTTAGACTTACAGAATCCCCTAATTACCAACGTTATTTAGGTGAGAGATTGTGTGTGTCACCTTTCAAAGTGTAGTTATTTCAAATACACTATATAATTTTATTTAAAATTTCATAAAACTAACTTATAGATAAAGTAAGCGTATGAAGATTTTCCAGGAATTTAGAAAGAGGGTATCATGCAAGTGAATTGAGCACTGATTAAGGGTGGTGGTACTTATTTTAAATCATATGCAATGTTGGACACATGACACACTTAATTTGTCAACACTTAGAATTTAATGACACCAGGTGTGAACCTAAATATATACAACTTTTAAAAAGTACGTAGCTTGTCATGAACTCCAAAATGAAATGCAGACTGTATAGAAGTCTCTGGCAACTTTACTCAGTGTGGGCAGCGATGGCATGAGATGCAGGCAATGAAGAATAAGGTAACTTTCCCCATTTCCATATAAGTTGTTTCCCTTCACGAGATAGCTTTCTTTCAGCAGGCTCCCATGTGAGTCAGTTTCCTTCCTGACAAGCAGGTCACCCAGAGGTTTCTCATCTTCCCTTAACTGAGCAAAGTTTTCCCCAAACTCCAGTTCAGACTAGCTCACACTGTCCCTAAATGGGCAATTACTTTTAGATATGTGCCCACATCTGTCCCTGCACGTACTCCTCCCTCAGACAAGCACACGCATTGCTTTGTGGACTCTTCCCTCAGAAAACCACAAATGTCCCCACAATGACTCCTTCACATAAGCATGCCTGTCTGATGCTGAACTGCTGTGTGGCAAAATTAGCTCAGAATACAAGCAGTATGGACTCCAGCCCTAATAACGTGCAGGTCTGCATTTTATTTTTAATTCTAACTGAAGACATTGCCTTCTTGTTAAAAGCAGTGGTTTATAGTTCTACATGCAGAGACTACAGGCAGACATATGACTCCTCTAGAAAAGTTTATTTTAGTGTATTTACTGGGTTATTTTGTTAATAAACATTCACTCTATAAAGACACCTGAAAAGGGCCCTCATCAGGGAACAAGAAAGTGTAGTTTGCAGATTAACTCTGAGCATCCAGTCCCAGGAATCCCTTGACCTGCCCTCCTTGAAATCCAAAGGCAGAGGGGGGATGACAACTGCTGAGTAGCAAACTTATGTCCACAGGGAGGAGACATGGAAATGTGGTCATTCCCACGCTCATGAGGAGCAGCTCATCCCCTGTCTCTAGTGGCCTGGTGAAGAGCTACCCCACACCTGCACCTTCCTCTGTGTCCACACCATGGGGACTGTGCTGATCTGGGCTTTCCTTCTAATCACTCTTAATATTAGGGCCCTTGTGGATCAGGCTCAGTTTTGGCTGCTCCAGATGGGGCTGTTCTCAGTCTGTTCCCTCTGTGTTTGGAGAAGCCCTGTGTGAAGTTCTCTGAAGGAGACAGTGGGAATAATGGTACAGCCAGGGGTTCTGTGAGTCTCTCCTGCAAACACTCTGGATTCACCTTCACTGACTGCAGCATCAGCCTGATCCAGCAGGCCTCAGGATCAGGATTGGTGTGGGCAGCTGCAGGGAGAAATTCAAGAGGAAGTTCTCAGTGGTGCCCTCCATGACTACAAAGAAGGTTCACAGTCCCCAGGACACTCTTATGTGCATGGTCCAACTGACATCTTTACTTCTTTATCATGTTTGTTCTGTAAATCACAACGAATGGTGTATTCTTCATCTATTATACATTTGTTAAGTCTTTTTTGGTGTCTTTCAAAAAAACTGGTAACTTTATCCTATGTAATACCTGTTACGTCCTAAAAGTGTTTTTTGATGTCTACTTTGTCTGAAATTTACACAGCTACTATAGCTTTCTTTTGGTTTATGTTTTCATAATCTGTGCTTTCCCATCTTTATCTTTTCTATTTGTGAATATGTAGGATAACTTTCTTGTACAAAGCTAATAGTTGGGTCTTGTTTTATCAAATCAACTATAATAAATTCTATTTTAAAAGTAATATTAATTTTTCTGTTATTTTTTGTTTAAATTTGTAGTTTATAATGATGTTTATTTCTCTATTAACAGATTATTTAATTCATTTTTTATAAATATGGTATTGGTTGCCATAGAGTTTACAATAAGAATTGTGTATAATTAGATTCTAATGCAGATACTGTGATGGCCTTGATGTGAAGTACGGAGTGTGCTTTGAATTCCTCCTTCTCCCCAGTCATTCTTGTTTATCCTCAGTTGGCACTTACATATAAAATATAATATATATTTTATTGCTTTATATAGTTATATGTTATAGCAATTACAAAGATAATAACTGCACTTCCTCTCGATTTTCCCTTTTTTACAATCTTAATTTCTTTGTATAGATCTATGTTTTGAGTGCATATCACGTGGCTACTCGCAGAGAAACTTTGCTAACATGTGCCCTGAAACATGAATCTGCTGACAAATTGTCTCAGGATCTTTTTTAATGACATAATTTTATTTGCTTTCACATTTTTATAAAAATGAAATGCATGTATAATTTCAGTTTGCATTTCGCTTGTAATTTATTTTCTTACATTTATTGTTTTTTCCAGGAGATGATCACATATTACATTCTGCTGGCCTTTATTAGCCACATTTCTGTGAATCTACTCAGGGTTGGATTTCAAGTGTATGGTTGCCACAGCTATCAGAGTTGAAGTCAGCTTCTCCTGTTCACAAGAGCTTCAAGTTACTCCAATGATACCTGCTTCTGTGTCCCTGTTTGGCTTTGGGTTTTCACATTTCATTCTCCCCAGAGACAGCCTCTTTCAGCTGTGACAGGTGCATCCTGCTGACACTTTTACTTGGTGATTGTTTGTGTGGTGAAGGGGCTTGGACACAGGGGCACATTCTCCAACCTTCTGACTAAGGCTCCTTCTTAGCTATGGGTGGTGTGACTGGCTCTGAAGCATGGCCTTACAAGGGTTTCTGTTCCTTCCCTTCCCCAGTGTCAGAGTGTCTCTTCCCAGCCACAGTGGATTTTCATCAGCGTCCTCAGCTTCTGACCCACTGTTCTTACCCCACAGATTCAGGATTTCATTCTGCAGGAAAGAGATGGGAGGTGTTTCTGGGTAGAGTTTCCTTGGTGTCCTCTGTTTCCTTGTGTTCTAGTTGATTCTACCAGTGCCCACAGGACACAAAATTTAATAAATGTCTCCCACATATAGTGAAGGGGGATTCAACATGGAATGGAGCTGCTGTTCCTCCTCCCCAGTCCACACCACAGGACAGCAGGTGGGTGAGTTGTCTGGGGATTTCCCCAATTCTGTAGGAAAAGCCTGCAAGTACCAGGAGTTTCACATTCACACACCATTAGCACACATGTCCTCAAAACTCATGAAACATTTCCAGGTTAGCTTTTTCCTTCTTCAATATGATGCAGTGAGTGGCATCTGCCCCAGTTACTCTAATAAGTGGACCCTAGTTCTCACTGCAGGCCCCTATTTTCTCAGAATACAAGGATTTGTTTTCTCTGTGACATCAATTCAGATATGTTGAAGGGTTTATTTTTTGTAGTTATTCATGGTTTTTGTTAACAAGGTCAGAAAATGATTATTTTCTCAATTTTTACATTATAATGCTTAGTATCTAATTTCTAAATAAAATTCAGAAACTGAGACAACATATTAGGCATCCATTATTTGGTGCATTGTCAAACAATTTGAGAAATATTAATGTACAAGAATGCGATGAACCGTTGAAATCAAGGCATGCCTCATTCACATAAGAACATGAGGATATTATAAAATAATTGTGGTGAGTGAAGGAAGCTGAAGAATTCACAGAAAATCTCAAGTGATTTTATTTGTATGAATTGTAGAAGATGCAACTATTGTAAATTAACATGAAGAAGATCTGAATTTTCTGAGGAAAAGGATGGTAAGAGTAAAACATGATGAAATGAAATTACAGAGAAGTGAGAGAAAAAAATAGAGTTTAATTTAATTGCTAACAGCACGATTGAAGTGCTGATTCAATGACTGCACATATATGTCAACATTTCCCAAATGCTGCACTATCAATTTGTTTTCATTATTAATTGATTTTAATAAAACAGTAACAAAAATGAATATATTGGCTGAGAAAAAGCAAGAAAGAGATAAATATTGACACTTGAATAATCACGGACTCCTGACAATACATGCATGTGAACACTGATTGTGTATTTCAGGTAAACGCTACAAATGGCAAAATTCCATAAAGTTGTTATGACAGGTGGGACATCCTGAAAACCCCTCTAGGCATGTCCCACACCACCCTGGAGCTGTCTCAGGGGAGCCGACTCCTCCAGCGTTTAGAGTCACAGGCACAGATAATAGGGCTAACTCTGTCCAGATGTGTGATATTGGACATATTGCACAGCTGCTCTGTTCTGCATGTAATCATCTTCTCTAAAAATGTGACATTCACACTTGCATTAAGTACATTCTACAAGTATGTAAAAATTAAATAAGACGATGAATACTAAATGATTATCAAGGCACAATCACATAATCTGAAGTTATATTTCCTGAGAGATAGAATTGACTCCAGTGTTTTCCGGGACACTCTCCTCTGCTCTGAGCACTGCCCTCTCCTCAGCCGCCCCACCCCAGAGCTTGCTATATAGCAAGAGACATGCAAATAGGTCCCTCCCTCTTCTGGTGAAAAGCAGCCCAGCCTTGACCCTGCAGCTCTGGGAGAGGAGCCCAGCCCCAGAATTCCCAGGTGTTTCTGTTCGGCGATCAGCACTAAACACAGAACACACCATGGAGTTTGTGCTGAGCTGGGTTTTCCTTGTTGCTCTTTTGAAAGGTAATTGAGAGTGAAGTAGAAATACTGTGTGTGAGGAGACATGAGTGAGAGGAACAGTGGATATGTTTGGCGTTTGTGACCTTGGTGTCTTTTTGTTTGCAGGTGTCCAGTGTGAGGTGCAGCTGGTGGAGTCTGGGGGCGGCTTGGCAAAGCCTGGGGGGTCCCTGAGACTCTCCTGCGCAGCCTCTGGATTCACCTTCAGTGACTACTACATGCACTGGGTCCGCCAGGCTTCAGGGAAGGGGCTGGAGTGGGTCTCACGTATTAGTAATGGTGGTGGTAGCACATGGTACGCAGACTCCGTGAAGGGCAGATTCACCATCTCCAGAGAGAACGCCAAGAACACACTGTATCTTCAAATGGACAGCCTGAGAGCTGAGGACACGGCTGTCTATTACTGTGCGAGAGACACAGTGAGGGGAGGTCAGTGTGAGCCCAGACACAAACCTCCCTGCAGGAACGCGGGGGGAAATCAGCGGCAGGGGGCGCTCGGGACCCACTGATCAGAGTCAACCCGGAAGCCGGTGCACACGGAGGCTGATTTCCTGTCAGGATGTGGGACGTCATCTTTTTACAGTTTCTCTAGTGAACCTCTCTGAGTTTAGAACTCTGTGCTTAGTAATGTCATCTCTACATATTTTTTAAACGACTATTTATTATGATAACCTATTTTCATATGCACAAAATGCAGATTGTTGTTTACAGAGATGAAAAGTCCTCACCAGGATCAGAGTCCTGAGGAAGCTCAGGGGTGCCTGGGGAGATTTCTCCAATCAGACCCAGGACAGAAACCTCAGGGAGATTCCTGGACTAGAACAGTCTTTGGGATTCTGATCGCAGTCAATAGAGAGGCTGGGCCAGGGTCAGTGTCATGTAGAAGCTCACAGGTTTCTCGTCTGACCCTTCTCCTGACACTAAAGCCAGTCAGTATCAGACTGACCTGGTGCTGCTTTTGCTCACAGACTTCGTTCTTTCTTTGTAGTGTTTGTTCTTCCTTTTAAATTTTATTTTCCTGCTTTCTGAAAAAGAAAAAGATGGTCTCCATGGTCTCCATTCCAGGGCTCAAGGCATTTTCTTGGAGCTCAGGTGAGGCTCAGGCTGTGTCTCCTGCAGCAACGTGGGTGAGGCTGATGGAACTTCCTTCTCTCCCCATTTTCTCAGGACCCTCCACTGTGTTGTGTGTAGACTCATCTGGGAATGCAACTGGTCGTTAATAGTGAAAGGGATAAACGTATTTGATCAAAATGGGATGTGAATGTGGAATTAACCCTGTTCTGTGCAAACTATCGGACTCATCTGCTTCAGAAGTAGTGTTAGAAAGAGGTTGTAAAATTTATCGGAATCAGAATGGAGCCACTTATGAAGCTGGGGAAGGTGATGAAGCTGGGAAAGGCCATGAAGGAGGTTCTAACACCCATATTCGTGGTAACAAGAACTATTATAAATAGACTCTGCACAACCACAACTTTGCACCGAGGCCAACACAACCATAAAATAATTACTTCTCCAAGAATATCTGCCCATCAAACTGCCTGTACAACCTTATACCGATGTCACCCCTGTTGCTGATCCTTCTACCCCAGGATAATTGTCTCAAAACAACTGATGTAATACTCCTCATTTTTCCTTAATTTTTTTTCTTTCCATGCCAACCTGAATGCACCCATACATATTTCAATTGCAATACACATCCTAGAATAAATATTATTATATTTTCATAATATATTATTATATTATATTTTAATAATATATTATTATATTTTAATAATATCATATTATTATATTTTAGAGTCTCTTTCTGCCTGTTATTCAGTTGACAAGCTACAGATGGACATGCCACATTTCTGTGAGATGTAGAGGATGACATTTTTTAGACATGGCTAGGAATATCCAATTTCCCTAAGTGATCCCTCAATAAGTGCAGGCTGGAAGTCCCAGAGAGAGATGAAGCTGCTGAATCACCATGGAATTTCATTTTCTCCAGTTCTGCTCTGATGGAATCAGGCCCACCCATTTTATCAATGATAATCTACTTAACCTAGAGTCAGCTGATGACAAGTCTAATAGCATCTATTAAGCAAATTCACAACAAGATATATATATACGTACGTGTGTGTGTGTATATATATATATGATATATATTTAACATGGAGTCTCACTCTGTCACCCAGGCTGGAGTACAATGGCATCATCTCGGCTCACTATAACTTCTGCCTCCCGGGTTCAAGCAATTCTTCTGTATCAGCCTCCCCAGTAGCTGGGACTACGGGCGCACGCTACCACATCTGGCTAATTTTTGCGTTTTTAGCAGAGACCGGGTATCACCATATTGGTGAGGCTGGTCTCAAACTCCTGACCTCAGATGATCCACCCGCCTCAGCCTCCCAAAGTGCTGGGATTACAGGCATGCACCACTGCAACTGGCTAACACCACACATATTAATATTGGATGGAATAACTACATAGTCTACCCTAACCAAGTGTACCATCAAACTTACCATTACCCAGAGGGAAGAATCTCTAAAATGACATCTATATTCTTAAATTTTTATGGTGTAAAACTGACCACTTTACAATCAGGCAATTATGATTTTGCTAATGAGTTGTAGTTGTGTGTGTATTTTGGATATAATCCCTTTTTCAGATGCCTGGCTTGTAATTATATTCTCCCATTCTGTAGGCTGGAATTATTTCCACGCTTTGCAGACTCTTTTTGTTGTGTTGTAGTTCCACTTGTTCAATTCTGCTTTTGTTGTCTGTGCCTTTAATTTGAAATATAGGAAATCATTCTTAGCATTTTTTTCTGGGTGGGGGAAATTTTACAATTGCAAGCCACACGTTTAACTATTTAACCCATTTAGAGTTGATTTTTGTGTTTATTCCAAACTAAAATTCTTAATTCTTTGTAAGCATACATCCAGTTTTTCTAAAAGCGAGACATCAGAAAGACTAGAATATTCTAAATTGACCACAAAGTTTCATTTAAGTGGTTTGTTTATTTAGTTCATCAAATTTGACATAATCCCTTGTTGCAAGAAATCCAAGTGAAATAATAGTAGTCGTCCAAGTTTGGTGTGTCTAAAAAGGCTTATAATAAATAAACATTTTAAAGTACAAATATAGATATGATGATCATGTTGTGTTGCTATGTGCTATAATGTCTTTTTAATAAAGTTTTTTAATTTGGAAGGTTTTGTTTTTATTTAAATATTAAATATATACCAAAGATATTTCATGATTAATACTGGATAAAATACAACAATAAAATTAATACAGATGAATACACCCTCCCACAAACACACACCCACACAGAAAAAAGTGAAGATTTTAAACCAACTGTGTATCTGATCCTATCTCACTCTCTGTGTACTCAGGAAGAAGTAATTTTGCTAACTTTTATGCTCATTTTTCAATTGCTTTTAGATGTATTACACATAAATATGTAACCTTAAACAAAATGCTATTGAGCTTTATATATCTTTGAATATTATTTAAATGGAATTATATATATAAATAATAGGTAGCAAAAATTTTTTCATTCCTTGTTGTGAAACACTTGGGTTGATTCCATTTATTGCTGTAATAAACATTTCTGTTGTGAACTTATTTTCAAGTACCTTTACATTCATTTGTGTACTAGTTTGCTTCCTATGCATTATGTTTAGATTTTTAAAAATTTTTAATTGCTTTTAATGGGTTTATAAAATTTACATTTTTTTCCAGCAATGTATGAAATTTCCATTATGGTAATCTTTACCAACCTTTGAACTAACCAGGACTTAAACATTTGTTTGACTGGAGTATGTAATTTATTGATTTTTGATTTTCATTTTCCGCATTGTTGATGTTTTCAGTATAGTTTCCAGGAGGTTGTTGGCTATTCAGATTTCCTCTTCCATAAAATGACTATTTAAAAATTTTGCCCACTTATTTTCTATGTCATTGGTTGGTTATTTAAAAGAGTTCTTTATATATATTTTTATTAAAACCTTTAACACTGTTTATATATATATATTTATATATATATATATATATATATATATATATTTCTAGTTGGTAGCCTTTCTGTTTTCTGCATAGTAAATACTGATGAATTCTTAGTGAGACATATCAATCTTTTATTTAAAACCTCATGGTTTTTTATTCCTAGGATTTCCTTTTTCATACTAATCATAAACATATAACCTGCAATGTTTCATAATTTTTTTTTTGTTTTCATGAGTTTTTAACACATTTAGAATTGCCTTCTCTGTGTGAAATGAAATAGAGATAAAATTATATTTTTATATGAATTAAAAGTAGCAGGGGCTGGGCGCGTTGGCTCACGCCTGTAATCCCAGCACTTTGGGAGGCTGAGGAGGGTGGATCACAAGGTCAGGAGTTCAAGACCAGCCTGACCAATATGGTGAAACCCCGTCTCTACTAAAAATACAAAAATTAGCTGGGTCTGGTGTTGTGCACCTGTAATCCCAGCTACTCAGGAGGCTGAGGCAGGAAAATTGCTTGAATAGCCTGGGCAACAGAGCGAGACTCCGTCTCAAAAAAAACCCCACACAAGTTCCCCTGGGATCAATCAATAAATATTTCTTTCCATGCCCTATTACTCCTGTTGTTAAAGATTCGTGGTGTTTTTCAAAGTTTGGGGAAATTATAGCCTTTTGGCTTTGACTGCAGCAGAAAAGTAAATGTGAAGCTATGAAATCACTCAGCGAATTTATTGTTTTGACAATTAATATAATGTATTTTAAATGAAAAAACCTGCCCATTAAATATTTTTGTTTGTGCCTGAAATATATTGAGTTTGCCACATTGATCCATTAAATTATGCTATATAGTTAGAATAAATTTAAAAAATTTTTTGTTTTATAGTATGGGATACAAGTTTTTTAAGAAAGTAAATTAATACAGAAGTACATGAATGATTACTCAATATGACATTTGTATCTTAATTCAGCATTTGAGCATAATTTTATACTCAAATAACTTATAAGTGGAAGACTAATCACACTCTAACTTTCCTGATTTTTAATAATTTTGCTAGCTTCATAAGTTAGAAAAATAATCACAAAATTTCTCTATTTTACATAACATAGATCAAATTTAAAATAGTAACATTTTGTGTTTATTTTATACTACAATTTTTGTCTGTGATAAACTAGATGATCTCTCAACCACTTAGAGAAGTTCATGCTGACTTTTATATACATTTTGTTTCAATATAAATTCTTGCCATGAATCAAAAGTACCTTCAAGAGAAAATGATTTGAACTAAACAACTCATATGATTTGGAAACACTTTTATTGTAAGCCTTTAATCTAAACTTTCTGACTCAAACAGAAAGAGATTTTTAACAGTCCACTCCATTATTATTTCTACTGGGTCCCTATCTTAAAATTGAGAATATGTATTCCCCAAAGTAAAATGTATACATATAGAAAGTACATATTTATCTTTAGAAAGCATTCTTCCTTGATACTTTTATAGGGCTTCTTTTAGACTAAATGCAGGCAGTGATTTGTTTTTAATTTGGTGACAATATCTATTAAACCAATATCTGAATTATTATAAAATACATTTTCTCTGTATTAAAATATCTATCTTTATTTTCTATGAGAGTTCTACTAAAACTATTAAGACAATTAGAATGGATTATTGTTTCATAGTACAAATTTGCATTTAGGAAAGAAAGGAAAACTAAAAGTGTTGACATTTGACTCTATTTTTGTTGTTGTGGTTGTTGTCGTTGTTGTTGTTCGAGTCAGGGTCTTGCTCTTGCTCTGCTGCCCAGGGTGGAATGCAGTGTTGAATCATCGCTCAACAGTCTCCACCTGCTGGGCTCAAGCCATCCTCCCACCTCAGCCTCCTGTACAGCTGTGACTACAGGCAGGTGCTCACTACTCAGCCTGGATAAATTTTTGTATTTTCTGTAGAGATGGGATTTTGCTATGTTGCCCAAGCTGGTGTCCAACTCCTGGGCTCAAGCGATCCACCCGCCTTGGCCTCACAAAGTGTTGGGAATACAGCTGTTTCCGGGAGGCTTTTTTTTATTGTTTTTTAAATTATTTTTCTTGCAAAGTAGGTGATACCATTTGACCCAGCAATCCCGTTACGGGGTATATACCCAAAGGATTTTAAATCATTCTACTATGAAGACACATGTGCACATATGTTTATTGCAGTACTCTTAACAATAGCAAAGACTTGGAACCAACCCAAATGCCCATCAAGGATAGACTGGATTAAGAAAATATGGCACATATACACCATGGAATACTATGCAGCCATAAAAAAGGATGAGTTCATGTCCTTTCCAGGGACATGGATGAAGCTGGAAACTATTATTCTCAGCAACCTAACACAGGAACAGAAAACCAAACACCACATGCTCTCACTCATAAGTGGGAGTTGAACAATGAGAACCTGTGAACATGGGGAGGGAAACATCACACACTGGGGCTTGTTGGGGGGTGAGGGGCTAGGGGAGGGATGGCATTAGGAGAAATACCTAATGTGGATGATGGGTTGACGGGTGCAGCCAACCACCATGGCACCTGTATACCCATGTATCCCAGAACTTAAAGTATAATGATAATAATAATAAAAGATCCTGCAAAAAGTACCAAAACATGTGTGACAGTAGGGAAAGAAGTCTGAGTGGAATCTGCCTCTGATTCCAGGACATTTCACCTTGTATGAGTGGTGACGTTCTACTGATTGAGTCAGGGCCTTATTTCAACCTTCGCACAGCAGGGGCTGCACACAAAGTAGCAGGGAAGAAGGACCTGTCACCTTATCTGCTCTGTGCTGTTACCACATCCCCACTAAAAAGAAACCTTACATTTGTTTATTAAAATGTGCTTCTCTGTGCATGGAAGAAAAAGAAAAAAATTAAAATCTAACATGTATGTGCATATTGGTAGGGGCTTCACAGTAGTTACTCACTGCTTAGAAAGTGTCTCTCTTTAAACTTTCATCACTTTATTTTCTTTGAACATTTGCCTTCAATTAGAAAATTAATTATTTATAAAATTTTTGTTGGTACATAATAGGTGTATATATTTACCAGCTCCATGAGATGTTTTCATACAATATGAAATAGGCACATGATGGAGAATGAGGTGTCCATCCCCTCAATATTTTATTCTTTGAAATACAAAAAAAATTCCAATTACATTCTTTAAATTTCTTTAAAATATACCATTAAGTTATTATTGACTATAGGCACCTATTGTGCTTTCAAAAAGTAGGTCTTATTAGTGTTGACCCAGTAGTGGATTTGCTGGGTAAAATGCTACCTCTGTTTTATGTTCTTTGAGAAATCTCCACTCTGCTTCCCAAAGTGGCAAGACTAATTTTCCATGTGTGGTTTACTTCCACATCTGTACATGAAGAAACATTGATTCCAACAAAATGTAATTTACACAAATAAGTAAAACTAAAATAGTGTAATCAGTTCAAAGTGCTTATCACAGCAAAATTTTATAATAAGACAGCGTATTTTCCAAATACCATCATTGTCACCAAACTCCTGCAAGGCACAGTCACCTTATCTGGACCCATCTTCTCCTCAGGCATCCCACCCCAGAGCTTACTATATAGTAGGAGACATGCAAATAGGGCCCTCCCTCTGTTGATAAATCCAGCCCAGCCCTGACCCTGCAGCTCTGGGAGAGGAGCTCAGCCCTGGGATTCCCAGGAGCTTCCACTTGGTGATCAGCACTGAACACAGACCACCAACCATGGAGTTTGGGCTGAGCTGGGTTTTCCTTGTTGCTATTTTAAAAGGTAATTCATGGAGATCTAGAGATGTTGAATGTGAGGGGACATGAGTGAGAGAAACAGTGGATATTTGTGGCAGTTTCTGACCTTGGTGTCTCTTTGTTTGCAGGTGTCAAGTGTGAGGCGCAGCTGATGGAAACTGGCGGAGGCTTGGTACAGCCTGGGGGGTCCCTGAGACTCTCCTGTGCAGCCTCTGGATTCACCTTCAGTGACCACTACATGCAGTGGGTCCGCCAGGCTCCAGGGAAGGGGTTGGAGTGGGTAGGATTAATTAGAAACAAAGCTGATGGTGAGACAACAGACTACGCTTTATCTGTGAAAGGCAGATTCACTATCTCCAGAGATGATTCGAAAAGCATCACCTATCTGCAAATGAACAACCTGAAAACCGAGGACACGGCCGTGTATTACTGTGCGAGGAACACAGTGAGGGGAGATCAGTGTGAGCCCAGACACAAACCTCTCTGCAGGGGCGCGCGCGGCCACCAGGGGGCTCTCTGGACCCACTGCGGACAGGACCAGTCCCAGGAGCAGGTGCAGGGGGAGGTTTCCTTTCTCCTCAGCTGGAAAAAAAGTTAGGTTTGTATTTGCAGAACTCTGGAGCATTCTAGGCTGTGTTATTTTATTACTTGTATTTATTATAAATTTATTATTAAATTTTAGGAATTACTAAAATTCTGTATATATGTATCGTTTAAGTATATACATTCAAGAAATAAACATCCCTAATTATCTTCACTGATTCTTGCAGAGTTTTAGTAACATTTGTTGACATCAGCAACTATATAGCTATAGGGACATAAATTTATACTCATAGACATATGTGCAGACCAGGTGTGGTGCTTCACACCGTTCACCACAAAGGAATTTTCAACTCTCTTGGAAGTCGGGTTCATTTTAAAATTAGTTATTTTTTTCATTTCAATATCTGAAGATTATTGTATCTGACTATTTTAGCAGAAAGCGAATTATGGGAACTCGAACTAACCAACTGAAAATAAATTCACAACTAACTAAACAAGATGCCAGAATGTGATTGGCTCTAGGCTTTGTTAATTCAGCAGATTATGTACCCAGGCTTTAAATTTACCCATATTCTTGTTTCCTTCATGGCACAGTCAACTCCCGTTATTTAAGAAATCGTGACTGCATTCCCAAGGTTCATGCACAGTTATAAAAATAGACTGGGTGAGATGAGGAGTTGACTGTTTAAATTCCCCTCTGAAGAAGCAACATCAACTCAACAAACCACCTCTTTTCCTCCTGTGTCTAGAGCTATGTCACAGGCCACATGGACCTAAGTCCTTGATGAAGATAGCAGGACTACATAAATTGGGCTGATCGTTTTTATGCTATGAAATTAGTAGACAGCACTGCACTCCAGCCTAGGCAAGGGAACAAGTCTCTGCCTGTAAAATAAAAAAGAAAGATACATTAAGAGACACTGACTTTGACATTTTGGATAATAATATTTTCACGACCCAAATTTAATCACACCCACATTGTTACCTACATCTTCACTGAAAAGTTCCTAGTCATGCTGATTTCCATCAACATTCCACGTGTTCAAATCTGAACATCCAAGACAATCTGGAGAATAAAATACACTGAGGGCAGTGATACAGGTGTATATTCAGCACCTCTTAACTCAGGAGGACTCAATACACTCTGGCACACTGCTATCTTTCTGAATGGCTCACAACGACTCCAGCTCACTCTCCATCCTCCTCAAACATCTGGTCCCTGTTTGCCCTATGTTCACTTTCTGCTCTTAGTCTATGCTCTGAAGTCTTTGCAGAGGTGAAAATGAGCTGTCAGATGGAATTTACTATTTCATTTAATGACCACTCTTCCCATATGGCTGATTTCTTTTGGACTGTTCATTACTGTTGATTTTCAAAGAAACTTCACTTGAATCTTTACTCTTTTGCATTTTGTCTCTATAACACTGTTGGGAAGTTTTACCTCTAGCATTATAACATGATCTAGCCACCTGCCATATTTGCGGCAAACAATACCTACAAATTCAGAAGCTCTTTGGTTGTCTTTCCACCAAATACAATTCTTTCTGTTCTCTGTGTGAGCATATCCTAGCATCCCTGTACACACCCTCATAGATGTTTACAAGCCTGTGAATTATTCTCCATAAATAAAAATGTATCTCAATTACCCTCAATGTTCATAATTCTGAGGGTGAGGAAGGTCTTTCTGGATCTGTTCAAACAAAAGGCCCAGAGATCCCCTGGGAGACAAGGAGTTCACGTGGCTCTGGATGTTAGGTCTGTCTCTTTCCCTCTGTTGTCCCACAGGTCAGCTCACTTGTTCAGCTCCTCAGGAGAGAGCCCAGGTTTATCCTGATTATACAACACTCCCAACTTCTGGTGATTCTCCTGCTACCCACATCCATGGAGACAGATTATTTATTATATAATTCACAAAACTAATGTCAAATGCCCAAGTTGCAATACCACACACCATAGGGTATGTTCATGCAAATCAATGGAGGAGAAAGTCTTTCAGAGACAGATGGATCTGAATTGGTAAATATGTAGGTAAGGACTCTGGACTTGAGTATAATTTTCCAGCCATGTTTCACAGGTATGACCTATCAGGGAAGGACCAGAGTTCCATGTGCTCTCAGAGAGGAGGGCTCACAGATGTCCTCTCTGGTTCCCAGGAAAGGTAATTGCACTAAACTTGGTGATGAGACTATCCTCCTGTGCTGACCTATTACCGTTTTTGACTGAAATTGTCACTGCAATTCCCAATCTGCATATTTTCACAGAGAAGTGTTTACAGGCCAGGCCACATTCTCAGGGTCACACATTGAGAACGATGGAGACATGTGCCACCACCTTCTCCTGAGATCTCAGACAGAATCCCAAATTTCAAAAGGTCCCAGAAGAGCAGCTCTCAGATTTTTTTTTTCCTTAAATGACGCACTCTCTGGGACAGATATTTTCCCGCTACCTATGATGGATGTTCTGAATTGCAATAAAAAATTGCATGGATTTAGATTTGTATGAACTCACTGTGATTAACATATTCAGCTGCGGCCCTAATATTTTTGAATGGAGATTTGACAGTTTAGATAACCTGGCTGTTTGGTTGGTTTCATATAAATCTTCAAGGGTAGAACAGCATTGAACCTATTCCAAAATCTGTCCTTGATCCATGATCACACTCATCTCACAGACCAGCTTCTTCAGCACATCTCCCTACCTGGAAGAAGACGAATCTGGGCTTGGTGAGGGGAGGCCCCAGGAAGACAACTGGGTTCTCAGAGGGCACAGCCAGCAACCTCCTCACAGTGTGAACCCAAAAGACTGGGGCCTCCCTCATCCCTTTTCACCTCTCCATACAAAGGCACCACCCACATGCAAATCTTCACTTAGGGACCCACAGGAAACCACCACACATTTCCTTAAATTCAGGGTCCTGCTCACATGGGAAATGCTCTCTGAGAGTCACGGACATCCTGTGCAAGAACATGAAGCATCTGTGGTTCTTCCTCCTCCTGGTGGCAGCTCCCAGATGTGAGTGTCTCGGGGATGCAGATATGACGATATGGGAGGCTGTCTCTGATCCCAGGGCTCACTGTGGGTCTCTCTGTCACAGGGTCCTGTCCCAGCTGCAGCTGCAGGAGTCGGGCCAGGACTGGTGAAGCCTTCGGAGACCCTGTCCCTCACCTGCGCTGTCTCTGGTGGCTCTATCAGCAGTAGTAACTGGTGGAGCTGGATCCGCCAGCCCCCAGGGAAGGGACTGGAGTGGATTGGACGTATCTCTGGTAGTGGTGGGAGCACCAGCTACAACCCGTCCCTCAAGAGTCGAGTCACCATTTCAACAGACACGTCCAAGAACCAGTTCTCCCTGAAGCTGAGCTCTGTGACCGCCGCGGACACGGCCGTGTATTACTGTGCGAGAGACACAGTGAGGGGAGGAGGGTGTGAGCCCAGACACAAACCTCCCTGCAGGGAGGTGGAGGGGGCGGGCGCAGGTGCCGCTCAGGACCAGCAGGGGGCGCGCCGGGGCCCACAGAGCAGGAGGCCGGGTCAGGAGCAGGTGCAGGGAGGGCGGGGCTTCCTCATCTGCTCAGTGCTCTCCCTCCTCACCAGCACCTCAGCTGTCCCCAGGGCTCCTCTTTCTTTGATATCTGTGGTTCTGCTTCCTCACATTCTTCTGCCAGAAAAGAAAGGAGGAAGGCACATTCGCAAATAACTGCTGAGTGAAAGTAGCTGAAGAATTAAGAGAGCACTTCATAACTTCTATTTGTATAAACTTCAGAAGGTACAATTATTCTCAAGTAGTAAAGAAGATTTGAAATTGGTGAGAATTGGGTGTTGAAAGTAATGGGGTAGTGAGATGAAATTACAGGGAAGTGACAGAAAGATTTAGGGGTCAACTGAATTGTACACAACTTAATTGAAGCCCTGATCAAAGGGTTGCACACACACATTAACATTTTCCAAATTGTGCAGTATATGTTTGAATTAATGATTTATTAATTGTACTTAAAGCAGTAGCAAAGGAAAAAATCAGTATGTTGGTTGAGGAGGAGCAAAAAATAGATGGGTATGAACACTCAAAACGTCTCAGACTCTTGAAAATGCACATGCATGAACAGTGGTTCTCTCTAGATATTTTAGGAAAATAGCAGAATACAAAAAAAGAAAAGAGAGATGTCCTGGCAGGGGTGGAATCCTGCAGACTTCACTAGGCATGTCCCACACTGCCCTGGAGTTGTCTCAGGAGAGGAGTCTTCTCTAGGGGAACAGAGGCACAGGCAGAGATAATGGGGCGAACTCTATCCAGCTGTGTGACCTGGAATGCATTGTACAACCACTCTGTTCTGTATGTAATTTATCTTCCTTAAAATGTAACATTCACACTTGCATTAAAAGTACTCTGTAAATATGTAAAAATGAAATAAGATGATGACTGCTAAATGATTATCAAGGCACAATCATATAATATAAAATGATGTTTTCCTGAGTGATAAGATTACTACCAATCTCCCCCAGGGCACTTTATCTGCTCTGAGCCCTGCCCCTCCTCAGGATTCCCATCCCAGAGCTTTCTATACAGTAGGAGACATGCAAATAGGTTTCTCCCTCTGCTGATGAAAACCAGCCCAGTCCGGACCCTGCAGCTCTGGGAGAGAAGCCCCAGCCCTGGGATTCTCAGGGGATTCCATTTGGTGAACAGGACTAAATACAGAGGACTTACCATGGAGTTCGGGCTGAGCTGGGTTTTCACTGTCCTTGTTTTAAAAGGTGAACTAGAGAGATTGAGTGTGAGTGAATAAATTTGAGGGAAACAGTGGATATGTCCGGCAGCTTCTGACCAGGATGTCTATGTGTTTGCAGGTGTCCAGTGTGAGGTACAGCTGGTGGAGTCTGGAGAGGACCCAAGACAACCTCGGGGGTCCCTGACACTCTCCTGTGCAGACTCTGGATTAACCTTCAGTAGCTACTGAATGAACTCGGTTTCCCAGGCTCCAGGGAAGGGGCTGGAGTGAGTAGTAGATGTATAGTATGATGGTAATCAGATATGTTATGCACAATCTGTGAAGAGCACATTCACCGTCTCCAAAGAAAGTGCCAAAAGTCACTGTATTTGCAGGTGAACAGTCTGAGAGCAGAGGGCGTGGTGAGAGGAGCCGGGCACATTCCTCAGCCCCGGGCTCAAAACAAACAAGCCCAATACGAACACATCCCATCGTCCCATCCCACCACATATCGCCATATATCTCTCAAACTTCCTGAGCCCAGTACAAACACATCCCATCCTCCCATCCCACCACATATCGCCATATGTCTCTCAAACTTCCTGAGCCCAGTACAAACACCACCTGGAAAAGTCTCCGATAAGGAGGCAGCCGTTCAAAGTTTTACTGAAAGCGTGGGAACCAAAAGAATTCCTTTGTTCTCCTGTAACTTTCGGGCTATAAAAAGCAAACACTCGCATTGTTCGAGGCCCTCTTGTATGCTGGTCCCTAATGGAGGGACCTAGTTCGAACTTGTCATAAAGATCCTTGCCGCTTGGCTTTGATTCTGGACTCTGGTGGTCTTCTTTGGGGAATAGAGGGTCTGGGCATAACATCTGGGGGCTCGTCCGGGATTCCCCCAAGCCCACCAGACCCCTGGTCAACGGATCTACTAGGATCGATCTACTGATAGGTGAGCCGGCTCGTCTCCGTTTGTCTGTCTGTGTCTGTTCTGAATCTGAATCTGCGACTCGCGAGGTCTGAAACTGGAGCTGGCACAGTCCTGGCGGACGCGCTATAGGACGGCCAGCGGAGACCGGTGGGAGACGTCCCCTGGCGCTCGTCTGATCTAGCTTACGATCTGAACTGCCCCGACCGCCGGTTTGGGGTTTGGGCAGTAGCTGTTTCTGATCTGAACTGCCCGGAGCGCCTTTGCGTTTGGGCAGTAACTGTCTCTGATCTGCACTGCCCCGACCGCCAGTTTGGGGTTTGGGCAGTAGCTGTTTCTGATCTGAACTGCCCCGACCGCCGGTTTGCCCCGAGCACCGGTTTGGGGTTTGGGCAGTAGCTGTTTCTGATCTGAACTGCCCCGATCGCCGGTTTGGGGTTTGGGCAGTAGCTGTCTCTGATCTGAACTGCCCCGACCGCCGGTTTGGGGTTTGGGCAGTAGCTGTCTCTGATCTGAACAGCCCCGAGCGCCGGTTTGGGGTTTGGGCAGTAGCTGTCTCTGATCTGAACTGCCCCGAGTGCCGGTTTGGGGTTTGGGCAGTAGCTGTCTCTGATCTGAACTGCCCCGAGCGCCGGTTTGGGGTTTGGGCAGTAGCTGTCTCTGATCTGAACTGCCCCGAGCGCCGGTTTGGGGTTTGGGCAGTAGCTGTCTCTGACCTGAACTGCCCCGAGCGCCGGTCTGCGGTTTGGGCAGTAACTGTCTCTGATCTGGGCTGTCGGAGCACGATCGCGACTAAATATCATTAATAAGTCAGATCAGATTTCCTTTGCAGGGATTCAAACCCACATTCCTTTACAGGAAGGGACTACAAATTATTACAGGATGGGTAATACCCAGAGCACTCCTCTATCTCTCTTTACAAATAATTTCAAAGAAGTAAGAGCAAGGGGCCATGATCTTGGTATGGAAATCAGGAAAGGAAAGCTAATTACTCTGTGTCGCTCCGAATGGCCTGCCTTTGATGTAGGGTGGCCACCCGAAGGGACCTTCCGACTTGCGGTCATCACTAGGGTAAAGTCCAAGATTTTCCTACCTGGGCGTGTGGGCCACTTAGATCAAATCCCATATATCCTCATATGGCAGGACCTTGTTGAGAACCCACCTCCTTGGCTGTCCCCTTTCCAATTAGCCTCTGAACCCTGTAAGACACTGGTTGCTCGACCACTAAAATCCAAGCAACCAACTACCCCCCCGCATCCTGTTCTACCTGATAGCGGGGACCCACTGTTCACAGAACACCCTCCGTACCCCTCCGGGCCCCAGGCCCCGACCCCCCGGGCTGAGTCGTGGGAGGGAGCAGGCGGAGGGCAGGCGGCCGGCACACACGGGCCCGCTGACAGGGAAGGTAACTTTGAAGGGCCAGCGGGGCGGACGCGAGGGCGCACTTCGTGGGCTAGCCCCCCCCCAGCCGCCTGACTCCACGGTGGCTTTACCCCTTCGGGAAATAGGACCCCCAGATGACACAGGAATCCCCAGGCTCCAGTACTGGCCATTCTCCACCAGTGATCTGTATAACTGGAAGACCCAGAGTGCTCGGTTCTCAGACAACCCCAAAGATTTAATGGCTTTACTGGATAGTGTCATGTTCACCCACCAGCCCACTTGGGATGATTGCCAGCAGCTCCTCCGAATCTTGTTTACCACGGAAGAGCGAGAGAGAATACAGGTAGAAGCTAGAAAGCTGGTCCCGGGGGACGACGGTCAACCGACTGCCAACCCCGACCTCATAAACGCGACCCTTCCTTTGACCAGGCCAGCGTGGAACTACAACACGGCAGAAGGTAGGGGACGGCTACACCTTTATCGCCAGACTCTAATGGCAGGTCTCCGGGCAGCTGCTCGCAAGCCCACTAATTTGGCTAAAGTATATTCTATTCTGCAGGGAAAGACAGAGAGCCCAGCCACCTACTTAGAAAGATTAATGGAAGCTTTTAGACAGTACACCCCCATAGATCCAGAGGCTCCAGGAAGTCAGGCAGCTGTTGTAATGTCTTTCGTAAATCAGGCAGCCCCAGATATTAAAAAAAAACTCCAGAAATTAGAAGACTTGGAAGGAAAGCGGATTCAAGACCTCCTTCAGATAGCCCAGCGGGTTTACAATAACAGAGATACTCCAGAGGAAAGGCAATTTAAGGCCACTGAAAAAATGACCAAGGTCCTGGCAGCAGTAGTACAGAAAGAGCATCTACAGCCAGAGTACACCCAACCTAGGCGGCCCCCCAGGCATGATAACCTGAGAAAAGACCAATGTGCCTACTGCAAGGAGGCTGGCCACTGGGTAAGAGACTGCCCCAAAAAGAAACAACGAGGACAGGGACCCCCTAGGTCTACACCCGTACTAGTCACTCAAGATGAAGACTAGGGAAGACGGGGTTCGGATCCCCTCCCCGAACCTAGGGTAACTTTGCAAGTGGAGGGGTCCCCAGTCCAGTTCTTGGTCGATATGGGAGCACAGCACTCAGTCTTAGTTAAAACTAATGGGAAATTGTCCTCCAAGTCCTCGTGGGTACAAGGGGCCACAGGAGTTAAAAAATACCCATGGACAACACAAAGGACAGTAAACCTCGGAGCCAAGAATGTAACCCATTCTTTCCTGGTCATCCCTGAGAGCCCCTGTCCCCTATTAGGGAGAGACCTGCTAACTAAAATGGGAGCACAGATCCATTTCCTCCCTGAAGGGCCGGTCGTGACCAACTCCCACAATCGGCCCGTGTCCGTCCTGACTATAACCCTAGAAGATGAGTACCGGCTCCACCAGGAGCGAGTGGCCCCTGACCAGGACATAGCAACCTGGCTCCAGCAATATCCAGAAGCTTGGGCGGAAACGGGGGGACTTAGGACTAGCAAAACACCGTCCTGCCTTGTTTGTTGAACTTAAGCCTGGGACAGACCCCGTGCGGGTACGCCAATACCCGATGCCCCTAGAGGCCAAGAAAGGAATTGCCCCGCCATATCCGCCGGCTCCTTGACCAAGGGGTCCTTCACCCATGTCACTCGCCCTGGAATACTCTATTGTTGCCAGTACGAAAACCTAATAGTGGAGAATACAGACCTGTACAAGACTTAAGAGAAATCAATAAGAGGGTTGTGGACATACATCCAACTGTGCCTAACCCGTATACCCTCCTGAGTACCTTAAACCCTAAACATCAATGGTACACTGTTTTAGATTTCAAAGATGCTTTCTTCAGTTTGCCTTTAGCCCCTCAGAGCCAAAAGCTCTTCGCCTTCAAGTGGAATGACCCTGATAGGGGCATAAGTGGCCAATTGACATGGAGCAGGCTGCTGCAGGGATTTAAAAACTCTCCTACCCTGTTCGATGAGGCCCTCCATGAAGACCTGGGTGAGTACTGACGCAAACACCCTGAAATAACTTTACTACAGTATGTTGATGACCTCCTAATTGCTGCTGAGACCCAAGAAGCTTGCATCCAAGGGACCAAGGGTCTCTTACAAGCTCTGGGGAATCTGGGCTACCGAGCCTCAGCAAAGAAAGCTCAAATCTGTAAGCCAGAGGTAACATATCTAGGGTACCTGCTTAAAGAAGGGCAGCGCTGGTTAACAGACGCCCGGAAACAAACTGTTCTGCAGATCCCCAGGCCACAATCCACCTGACAAGTGAGGGAATTCCTGGGGTCGGCGGGATTTTGCAGACTATGGATACCTGGGTTCGCAGAACTGGCTAAACCCTTGTATCAGGCAACCCGGGGGCAGCAGCCATTTAATTGGACAGACGAAGCCGAGTCGGCTTTCCAACAGATTAAAACCGCCTTACTCTCTGCGCCTGCACTGGGGCTACCTGATGTTACCAAGCCCTTCCACCTATATGTGGACGAGAATACGGGTGTCGCCAAGGCGGTAATAACTCAGAACTTAGGTCCCTGGCGGAGGCCAGTTGCCTACCTGTCAAAGAAGTTAGACCCAGTGGCTGCCGGGTGGCCCCCTTGTCTCCGAATGATTGCGGCCACGGCTCTGATGGTGCAAGATGCTGATAAACTTGTCATGGGACAAGAATTGCGGGTCGTTACTCCACATGCCATCGAAGGTGTACTCAAACAGCCACCTAATCGATGGATGAGTAACGCCTGGCTCACCCACTACCAAGGACTACTACTAAATCCTCTCAGGATAACTTTCCTGCCCCCAACGACCTTAAACCCTGCCTCGCTGCTGCCCAACCCGGACCTGGATGCCCCACTCCATGACTGCACCAAGATACTAGCTCAGGTGCACGGAGTTCGAGAAGACCTGCAGGACCGCCCACTTCCTGACGCCGACCTCGTCTGGTTCACTGATGGGAGCAGCTTCATGCATCAAGGCCAG